TTTTCTTCCCATCACCATAGCAACGTACCGAAAAAATGTAATCATACTAAGTTGGTCACCAGAGAACTTAGAATGAAATCCTCTTTAAGGAAAAGGTAATTGCAAACAATCTTTTGACAACATCTATATATGTGCATATAGACTCTTTTTATGGCAATATTTGCCTGTTTTGAAAGTAAAAAATCTGTTCTGGTAACCAAGGAAATTTTTTTCCTTGGATACGACAGTGTCGTTGTGGTTGAAATCAATATTTTTGTATTTTTTTGTTTAATTGTGACAGAAATAATCCATAAACACTGATTTCAAGAAAATTTAAATTTTTGACTTTCCATTCAAAGCTCAATGCTTACTGACATGACCTCTTAACATTCTTATTCAAGCTTTTGAACATAAATGGTATCTCATTCCTTGACACTCGTAGAGCGAGACATGTTTTTTGGCAAACCTTTTCATGACAGTGTAAATAATCGGGATAGTTCACTTCGGTGATGATTGCCGGGAAAATAAAAAAGTTTTAAATTATAGCCATTTCATTGCTTTAGTGTTACTTACCTATATACTATAGAGAATATGTACAATGTGTTGAATATACTTTCTAAATCTCGAAATTTAAGCTATAAGAACGTTCTTTTTTCTCTTAATTTCTTTGAAGCTGTCCAACCTATTTAATGAAACGATCCAGATAAAAGGGGAGAAGATTTACTCGTGGCGTTTGGCACCAAATTATGATTAGTGACCCGCTTTTCATAATTCTTAGATAGGTGTTCATTTAGACAAGTACATTTAGAGCAATAACAGTTAAAGCGTTAGGAATAAAAGAGAAAAAAAGTGCGTTGGATTTTCACGCTAACGACCTGGGTTCAATCCCTCTTGAGACCAAATTTTTTTACTAACTTTTTCTGCCCAGTTTTACGTGTTATTTTTTTTTGCTCACAACGAGATCGTTTCTAGTATTCTTACTATTATCGTATTGAAAAAAAAATTGAAAATGACCTTTGTCCGGTCCATTTCTCCAGAACAGCTTAAGATATGAAAGTTAACTGTGTCAGATATCATAGATCCTGACTTGAAGATGTGTCGATGTACATTTTTTCAGTCAATACTTCCGGTCGTCACAGAAAAGGGAATAAAAAGTCGAATTTGAACATTTCTTTGCCTTTCTTTCTTCTTTTTTCTGTGATATTCTTGGCGTAAGTAAAGGTCCCTATTTGATAATTTTACGTATTTCTTCATTTAATTAAGAAGGAATTAAATATCTTAGAATTTTCGCAAACGTAGGTTCAACGTTTCCTTAAACACTAAGAAATATTCATTTCATTTTCTCATAAATAGACTGCGCGGGTAATACACATTGTACAAATGTGCAGGTAAGGTCTTCCCCGGGATGGGGAATGGACCTGTAGAAAACCTTCTCTGGTTCCACAGAGACGAGATATTAGCAAATAAAATGTTTAAAACATATATCATGTATGTGAATCTTATCCCCAACAATTTTTTTTTGTAAGCTATAAGAAACCTACCCCCCCCACCCACGTTTCTCACTAATTGACAGGAATGCTAATTCCGCTTTAATGTTTTATATTCTACATAAAATGATCTCGACATTCATATAACAATGCACTCTTCTTGAAGTTAAGAAAATGATAAATGCATATGAATAACGTCATTAAAAAATATAAAAGAAATAGAACTCTATTTCCATCTTTTTTTTATTCATTCATAAATCCTTGGATCCGCTCGCAGCTGCGCGGTGGCCTCATCGCTACTGTAAACAATTCATTCACGCCGAAAATATTCATGATTCCGCTAAACTAAGAAAGTTTACACATGGTTTATCATCTCATAACAAACATCAGCCCTGTCCAATGCAGAAATGCTCGAACTGAAAGGGAAAATTCAGGAATTATTTTGCGTCAACCATGTTTTGACTGAACCTACCCGGCATTTTGTAATTAAGGTCTTCCGTCTTCACGGAAGACCTTATAGTTATTCTATTGTTTCTTATTAAGGTCTTCCGTCTTCACCGAAGACCTTATAGTGATTCTACTGTTTCTTATTATTTAAGGTCTTCCGTTTCCAACGGAAGACCTTCTACTGATTCTGTTGTTTCTTTTCCACTATTATTATTATTATTTTTTCTTACCGATTTTGTGCAGACGATTTCTCGAGAACGCCTGGACAGATTTTCATGAAACTTTCAGCAATGATGGCAAATCATATGAACTTAAGGCATTTTTTTTTATTTTGCCCTCGTCACTTCCGGTCGCGAGATACGGCCAATTTTCTTTTTTTAAAGTGTCATTTTGTCCGGGAGTCTTGAAACTTTAAGGGATGATAGATTGTGACAGGCATCATTGAATTTTGTATAAAGTTTTTGTTGCCGTCACGCCCGTTGTCCACCGGAAGTAGTTTAAAAATATGCAAAATTTTATTTTTTCCTTGTTTAAATGTTTCTTATCTTGGCAAATAGAGTGTCTCGAGTCATGTTATGTCCACCAGAAGTTATTTCTTCCAAACCGGAAGTTGTCCAAAAAATGAGCATTTTTCCTTAAAATTATCAGGGATGATTCCTTCACACTCAGAAAGGAGTTACGAGTCATTTTGAGTACTTCCGGTCATACCGGAAGTGAATAAAAAGACCGGAAGTTGTTTGAAATCGATAGATTTCACTCTCTTATGTGTTTTAGCGTATTCTGACGAATTGATATGAATATTTTTTTTACATATAAAGTTGTTTTACTTTCTTTTAACAAACAAACTCTCCAAAATAAATCAAGACCTTATCAGAAATCAAACGGAAGACCTACTTCTTGCTCGCAATGAGATCTCATCTAGTCTTATTACTATAATTCTTTTATTTTTTTGGACAAAATTTTGTGCAGACGATTTCTCGAAAACTATTCAGTGATTTTTCATGAAAATTTTCACAAAATATGTGTCATTATATGAAGTTGTTACATCCGAAGAAAAATTTGGAAAATTCGCTTCTGGTGCCAATTTATGGACAGTTTCCTGATTTAAAATGCGATTTTGTCGCGCACTTTTATCGAAAATAGCTGAGAATATGAACTGGAGACTAATTGGAGATGATAGATCATGACTTTGTGGTTTGCAGATTCGCCTTCTCGTGCGTCGTCAGCACTTCCGGTTTCTGCCGGAAGCATATTTAAATTTTTTTTTCAATTTTTTGGTTTTTCAATATTTTTCTTTGGTGTTTTTTTTTAGAGACTCATTTGCAAGTGCGTAATATGTAATTTCTTTTTGAATCGAAAAAGGCAATATTGAGATATTCGCTTTTAAAAATTTGAAGCGGTGTTTTCATTGGCCGAAGGGTTAGCGCGTTGGATTGTCGCGCAGGCGACCCGGGTTCGCTCCCTCGAATGTCCGACTTTTTTTATCACTTTTTCTGCTAGGTTTTTCGTTTTTTATTTCAGAATCGGACGGAAGACCTCTCGTTGCTCGCAACGAGTTTTATATCTAGTTATTATTATTATTATTATTTTGACTTTTTAATTTTGTGCACGCGATTTCTCGAAGACTACTGGATGAAATAACATGAAATTGTCCGGACAGATGTGTTGTTACATGAATTTATTAGATCCGAGAGAAAATTTTGAAACTCACTTCCGGTGCCAGGTTACGGACAATTTTCTGAAATTAAAGTGACATTTTGTCCACGATTAAACTCAAAAACGGTAAAAGATATCAATATGAAACTTTCAGGGATAATAGATCGTGATATATACTATCCAGTACGCGACTTTTTGTTCGTCGTCGGTACTTCCTGTCGTTAGAAGAAGCGAATTGAAAAAATCGTATTTTCTAACTTTTTTGTTTTTCAATATTTTTTATTTAATTTTTGAATGGTTAATAGAGACCCTTAGATTGATGATTACTATATAAGTTTTTTGAATATTGGTTAGTCTGAACTTTAGATATTAACATTTGAAAATCTGATGCGGGACCAAGATGGCGGCTCTCTCTGTCAACTCCGCCATTTCGCAATTCGGGGTTTATGGAGGCAGCTGAGCGTTTGCTTAAATGATTCTAAGGATAAATGAAATGTAAAAGACTACTTGGATTGTCACGTAGTAGTTACGTTGCAATGCTGTGTCAAACTAAAAATTAATTGTCGTTTCACTGCTTTAGTGTTACTGGGCTCGATACAATATGCAATGTGTACAATGTATGAAATATTCTTTCAAAACCTCAAAATAAAATATAGGCGATAAGAACGTTCTGTTTTTTTTTTTAATTTCATTGAAGCTATCACGTCTATTTAATAGAACACTCCAAACAAAAGACGCGAATATTCACTCATGGCGCTTGGTGCAAAAAAATGAATAGTGACACGCCTTTCATAATTCCAAGACAGGTGTACTGTTGTAGGAGTATAAACAAGTAAAGTAAGAGCAGAGCTCCAAGTAGCGTAATGGATAGTTTATTGGATTTTCACGCTGGTCACCCAGGTTCAATCAGGCTCGGGGGTTACAGGGATATTTTCCTGAATCGGACGGAAGACCTCTCGTAGCTCGCAACGAGATCGTATCTAGTTTCTAATTATTTTTGTTAAAAGTGACATATAGGTCCGAGTGTTTGTATTAAATGTTTCTAATTGTATTGTATTATAACTATAATAAACGATTAACTTACTTACTTACTTACTAATAGTGGTATTGGATAGTTATGTACCAAAGTATGGAATTATTATTACTTGTCATATCATACATTGAATGGTGGGGGCCCAAGGGGCGAAGCCCCCGGAAACTCCTGGGTTTTCGTGTATTAAAAAGAGTAGAACCAGGCACGATAAAATTGGTTTTGTATAGTTATGTGCCAAAATGTGGCACTATTAATATTAGTCTTTCATATTTCGAAAATTTTAGGGTGGTCGGGGCGTGCGCCCCCACGCCCCTTCCCCCTCTTAAATCCGCCAGTGCTATACCAGTGTTAAATTATCTTAAAATCAGCTTATCAAGCACATGTCTGATTAAGCTTTATCAATTAACTTTAATTGTGCACTTACCGCCAATATCACAAATCAAATATTTCAGGCCACTCTGAAAAGTACGTCTCCTGTCTTCCTCCATCTCTTCGATATAATTAACATAGAGTGCAGCAGCCTCCGATTCCATTGCAATTGCAAGGTGATTAGACTGAATGCCTGCCTGCATACAAATATTCAAAACTTGTGATCATATGAAAATACCCCTGATAGGAGCATCCTTAACCTTAAATGTGTGAGAGGTTATGCGAGGGTGGATGGGGGGGGGGGGTAGTTGGGTGTGTTTAAACTTTGACTTCTACCTTTATTTTCAGGCCAGTAAAAGAGTTTAAATGAAATTAATATTGTTATGTTTAATCATATATATATATATATATATATATATATATATATATATATCAATGTACTAACTTTTCAAACATACAGCTCCATTTCAGAGAAAATTTGACATTTACATACATGAATATGATGAAAATTTTGTAGTACTGTATGCTTTTAATACTTATATTTGAAACAAAAATACATTACCGATATACTATTGATAACACATTATAAATCTTAATGTACATATTTCATTAAATACAACATGAAAAATGTTACATGTAAACATACCTCTGAAGCACATTCTCTGAAAAACATCCTTGCTTTGTTTGACCACATTGCTGGCACAGTAATGACCCATTTCACATTTTCATTCTCTACAGAAGGATATGACAGTTGCATTTCTGATAGCAACTTTTCTTTTAAATATCTAAATGCTGAAGTAATAATGATCTTGGCTGGGAAAGCTTTTCCATCCTCACTCTCCAAGATGTACTCGTTTTCATCAGTCTATTAAATGATAATAAAAATCTCTACATTATGCCACGGACACTTGATATTTTATCAGTAAGTCGCTCAATTACTTTGGTAGACATCGAAAAATTGTATCTCCTTTCTATATACAATATAAAAATATGCAACTCCATTTTGCCCCCCCCCCTCCTGCTTGTTTCAGGCTTCAATTCAACACATAAATCGGATACACCAGTCCTATAGCTACTAGATAGCTACTAAATTTCATACAAACTTCAAATTTCGTCTCAAGGTCCGACCTGACGTCACGAAAATGAAATCTCCAAACTAAATGTTCTAATACATAAAAAAAATTAACATGTTTGATAAATAAACGGATAACAAACAACATAAACTTGCGGTTTTTTTTTTATTTTTTCTGATTAAGTTTGTCTGTGTATTCTATATATGAACGGGTATAATTTTTCGACATTTTAGCCTATGTTACATCTTATTGATAAGAATTCAGATTCCTGTGAATAAACATAATACATTTATAAATAAACAATATATCATTGATACTTACTCTTTCAAAACTGAATTTATGATACCGTATAAATAGCATTCTTATCGAGGATTTAATTTTGGCATAATTAGTGAGGGTGCTGAGATCACTAAAATTAAATAGCGCTAAAAAAATAACTGCGTTTTATTTATAATAGCTTCATGAGTGAGCATTTTAAAAACATTAAATTTATTCTCGTTAAAAATACCAATTCATCAAAACGTCATGAGGATTCTGAATGTCAGTGGTAGTGTTGCTGTAATTATTTTTTTTCAAAAATCCCTTTAAAACTGGTTATATTATGTGATGTTTAAAACAAAGTTAGCCACACCTTTTTCAAAAAAAGATTATGCGAAAAACTTTGATTCCTAAAAAGAGGGGAACTTTTGATAAATATCAATGTTATTTAGAATTGTGTGGTAATATTGCTATTAAGTTTGAGCAGAACTTCATCAAATATATTCCCATGTAAAAATCAAATACAGATTTTACATTCCATCTTCAAAGCATAGTCAAACAGAATTCATTTAAGGAATGTTTTTAAGTTTTGTGTGAGTTATTGGTGTGTGAATCACAAAGACTTGTCAAGCAGACATATTTCGTGAAGCGCGCATATCAAATGTAAATATTTAAGCTTATTGATTATTCTTACCACCGTTTCTTGAAATTTATTCTTAAACTGCCGAAAGTAGAACCAATCGCCCCGTTTCCCTGTTGAAAGAACTTCTGCATACTTCTCCTCTGCCTCATATCCATATGAATGAAATTTATTTTGTTTGTCAAACAAAATACAGGACGGAGTTTTCCAACCAAACATAACCCCTTCTTCCCATTTCAAAAAGTTAACCTTTAATGGGTTATTTTCAAAGTCATTTCGAGTGGAGAATCCACATGCCGTTTTTGTTGTTCCAATATCAATGGAGGTAACAATCAGGTATTCATCCATGTTTCTTGAAATAAAAAGAAATATATCAACATGTTTATCTTTAAATGTTAGAAAAGAGATTGATACCGTCGATAAAAAAGATATATCTAAAATATTTACACTTTAGAAATTTTTACAACAGTTTGTACACTGTCATGCCTATTTATTTATTGGTAAACATTCATTTATTTTTATATTATCGTAACAAACCAGCCTCAATTCTCCATTCCCAAAACATTTATACAATACATAAGTATTAGAATATGAAAGTCTCAAAAGTAATGATGCTACAGATTCACTCAATTTTTTAAAACCATGTCACAAATCAATTTAACTGTAAAACTTATCTGGCAAAAATATGCTTCCTATATTTAACTTTTTCTCATTTTCACATATGGTAAAGTTGTCACATACAAGTACAAAATGATGCAAAACTAAAAGTTTTGATCGCTTACTAAGAGAGAAATAACACTTTTTTCAGATTTTTGGCTCAAATCTGCAGTTAGATTCGAAGCATTTAAAAGCCAACATAGTGAAAAACATAGTGTGAAAAATCTTATTTATTTGATATATTTTGAAACTTTAGTCCCTTATTATTAATTTAACTTATATTTGAAAATTCCGTCCAGTCTTTGATTGCGTAAAAATTATAACTAAAATCAATGTTGTATAATATTTTTTAGAGGCAGAAAAAAAGATACTTTCATACGCCACCATTCCGCCAAAAATATAGTCCCTGCTAGTTTTTAAATGCACTTTACCATTACTACTTAAAGTTGTAAAATTGTGACGAGGAATGAAAAATATGGTCTTTTAAATCTCTTACATCTAAATATATGACATAAAAGCAAATATACTTTTGGGGAAAAATGCAAAATGCAAATTAAAAACTGAGACTGTTTGAGATTTTTCTATTTTCTATATAAATACTTTACTGATTAAGCTTAGATTTTCGGGTTGTTGGTTATGGGTTACTTTGTATTCGTTTTAAATATAAATATACAGAATTTAAGATATTATCAGCAATTTAAACGTTTGTTAAATGGGTAGGCGGGTACCCAGGGCAACAATTTACGGAGTTTATTTAAACAGTTGTCACGAAAATACCAAACAAGTTGTAAATAATTCTACCGTTTAAGAAAATAAAGCATTTTAACTTAATATAAATTATAAACTAGATGCTGTCATGAGACAGTAATACCCGCACTAAGATGTTTGCCTCTAAATACACGCTCCTACATATTGGGCGGCTTTCCAAGTAAAAAGTCAAAATAATTCTATAATTTACATGTGTTCATCAAATTGAGTATGAAATTCTCAGACCCTGTGACCTATAACTCAGAACCTCTTATATTTATTTTACATGCTTATTTCATTATATACCAGTTTGAATTCTATTAATGATGTAAATTAGATTTTGATAAATGTTTTGCTCATAATAGGTCCTTTTTAAATTTACTAATCTCCCCCTCGACACCAAAATCACACAGCACATACTTTTTGGAATATGCTAGATGCAAAAGTTTTGTTAAAACATCGTTTTTTATGAATTAATTTAAAATTTGTTCTTGTACTATACACGTTAACATGTAAATTTCTACATCACATCACGTTGCGTCACCCATTATCATATTTTTAGATTAAACACCCTTCGGCACATCTCGGCCGATTCCCACTTCATCTGATAAGGTGACGGAATCGACGAAGGTTTGCCGAATGGAATAGCACTAGCACATGCTGCAGTCTGCTGTGCATTGGATTAATTCATTTTGTGTTATAATTGGATTATATTTCATGAAGTTGACAAGACCTATGGCAGTCGGTAAGTACAAGTTTAAGTATAGTGGGGGGGGGGTGGTAAAAAAAACTCAAACGATTAGGTTAAAGTTCAAAAAGGGTCAAAGATCATCGCATGCCACACTAGACGAATTTCATATTGTGAAGTTATCTCCCGTTGTCGATGTGGCATGCAGTTACTGCCAATACTGGTGCGGATCCAGAATTTTTTTTTCGGAAGTAGGGAGGGGGGTTCACATCTCAGTCAAAAAACTCCAGCCCAGAATTTCCTGACAAGCAGGAGATAAAACTGAAAACAAATAAACAAAATAAAAACAATGATAGTGGGGTCAATGTTTTCTAAGTTACATGTAGGGGGAGGATGTCCAAAGTCATTTTTTATTTGCTTCAGTATATAGTCTTGTTTAAATAAAGCAAATTCCAGGTGGTGGAGGGGGATTTCCAATCTCCCTACCCACTCCCTGTCCCTGAAATAACAATCTATTTTGTGATTCCAATTAAATAGTATATTTTTTTCCATTTGAGTGATTTGACTAATTATACATATTTTGTTTCTTGTGTTTATATTATGTCTGTCTATTTGTCTGCAGAAATTATAACCTTGCCCATAAGTTTTAAGTGGGATGGGCTAAACAAATGGCTTCCATATTTTATAGGTTTATTTCTTGTGACAATTAAGACCTTTTATTTGGGTACCATTAATTTTTACCTCTGATCGCTTCACCTAGGATACACATTTTTACAAGAAAAATACCAAACTTTGAACTTGGCCTAAATTTTGATCAGTAGGTGCTAGGGCTTTCATGCTTAACATGTGTATTCATTGTGAACTGTCAACAGGTATAAATATGTTTGACCTTGACCCTAGAGTTTGAACCACATAAAAAATTAACCTTGGCAATTAACTTTTGAACAGAAAGTACTAGAGATTGGTTATTTCACATGTGCATTCCTTGTGACAAGACTTTCTTCTAATACCAACAATTTGAACCCTTTGACTTTGACCTTTGAGTTTGACATATATTTGAGAAACTTTCGCCATAGAATTCCATACGGGGACATCAGTGTTTCACAAACACATCTTGTCTTTATTATTATTTGGTGGTGTCTCCATATGAGGGGAAAATTCCCGAGAGAGATGAAACCTTACTGCACATCTACATGACCCCACCAACCATCTCCCAAAAGATGATTAGGCTGCTGAGTAAAATGTAAGAAGAGTTCAGGGAAGATGAGGCTTTTTGCATAAAAAACATCATTTTTCGACCCCCATTTGACCCCTCGGGGCAAAATCAGAATTCCAAAACCTAACTGCACATCTACATGACACCACCAACCATCTCCCAAAAGGTGATTAGGCTGCTGAATAAAATGTAAGAGGAGTTCAGGGGAGATGGGGCTTTTTGCATCAAAAACGTCATTTTTCGACCCCCATTTGACCCCCCGGGGCAAAATCAAAATTCCGAAACCTTACTGCACATCTACATGACACCACCAGTCATGTCCCAAAAGATGATTAAGCTACTGTGTAAAATGTAGGAGGTGTTCAGGGAAGAAAAGTGTGACAGACGGACGGACGGACATGAGTAACAACAATATACCCGAACTTTCTTTAGAAAGTGCGGGTATTTCTTAGTTACATAGTCTTTTAGTGACAGGGTATGTGATGATAGCTGGTTAATAAATTTAATACCTGGCGAGGCGGAGCCGATGAAACACCGATGAAACATTTACGTTTTATCTGTGGTTTATAAATGGTTTTCTCTGCTAAATGCTTCATCACGCTTATTATGACGTCACGTTATGTTTGTGACGTAATACATCGACCAGGTATAGATTTACAACTGACCGGGTATAGATTTACAACTGACCGGGTATAAGTAATCCACCTCCTTCACGTGAGAGACTTTAACCAATCGTAAGCCAGGATTTCACGGAAAAATCAACAGAGGTGGGGTAAAATAATATATATATATATCTAATATAAATTGCATACTTTATAATATTTCTTCTTTGCCATTATAGTGATATCAACAGGGACCTATATACATGTAGTATATAATTCCCTGCTATCAACTAAATGATATTCATCAAACATTAAATTCATCGCGTTACGTAAATATTTTTCACATTAACAATGAAATATTCCAAGTCAAGTTAGATCATACGATAAATCGCAACATGAAATCAAATATTTAAATTACTCCTAAAATAAGAGGAACGTATAAATTTTGATTAAAATATGTATTTATGTTCAGCTAAAGTAGAATTACATACATTTTAAGGTATGTCACTCTTCAGCTTTAAGGAAAATTTAACACCGAACCTTATACTTCAAAACTATTTATCAAAATTCAATTTTTATGACATCTAAATTTAACAATGTTAATGTTTTAAAACATTCAACGAAAAAAACTGTTCAAAAAGCTACAATGAAGCAAGATTTATGAGGGGCCGTTTCTAGTGGTGGAAGGATATTTAGAAGATAATTTAATTCATATTTTTAGAATAACTTTCACATCTTCCTTCTACAAACTATGCCAAAAAATGAAGATATTTCACATAAGTCAAGATAATATGTATACCATTTTTTGCCTGAAAATAACATATTTTGACCAATATTTCAAAATTGATATTGCTGACGCCACCATTTTCTTTATTCATTTAAAAGTACTCCATAACTGTGACTGACTGATAAGCACTTAAGTCGTAAAAAGCTTGATTCAAGAAAATGTTTTATTGCCTATTTAGATTTTCAATACCCCAAATATTTTACATTTTAGTGCGAAAAGGTCACACAATAATTTACGCGCATAAATTTGAAAGATTTGATCAATGATAATTTTTCCGTAAAATAAAATTTGATTTATTACCATGGTTTCATGAGATAAAATATGATAAAGGTTAGAGTAATTAATCAAAGAGTTAAAATTTAAGTGCAGAAATGTCAACTTAATTGCACTGTAGATTTGTAAGATGCACACTGACTTCCTTTTTTCTCTGTGATTTTGAGTTCCACTTTATGAGTACTTATCCAAATATACTTCTAAAAAAACATTATTTCAAAAATATTAACGAGTGAAAAACCTTAATTACATTTCAAAGATTATAAAATTCTACTACTGTACTCTAATGTACTCTTTCTGACTCAAAGCTGTTTAGTGTATGACCACTTTGCAACTCTCTCTCTCTCTCTCTCTCTCTCTCTCTCTCTCTCTCTCTCT